AATTTAATAATAATTTCTCAGGTTTCAAATACCCCCAGCCATTGTTACAACCCTGCAAATTGTTGCCCCCAAATCTTAACCCCAGCTCTTCCTCACAGAAAAGTTGGAAATGGCTATCTGAGACCTGGAGGCCTGCAGTATATAATTCAGGCTAAAATGCCCCCCCAATCCCAGTGCAGTCTTTCTTAAAGAATGGCCTTCAAAAAAAACCTTCCATGAAAAAAAAAGTATCAATTGAATGTATATTTTTTACTCTCACCCCACCCCATTCCATAAGCCATGGGAATGAACCAAAAATGTGTGTGCCTATTTACCCAACTCCTACTCTGCAGGAGAAGGAAAGATTTCAACGTACTAACCCAATAATATAAAGAAATGAATGAAGCAAAAAGAGTCTGAGCCCTGAGTGGCAAATGAAAAGGTTTTCGTACTCATCATGCTCCTCTAGCTTGCATGAAGGCATGGCTAAGATGCAACACAATCACAGCAACCTAGGTGCCTAGAAGGATCTTTCCTTTTAGAGGCTCTTCAGGTATATATAGCTAGGTGGGAGCAAAGCCATTCCAAAGATTGCTTTCTCCTTGCAGATTGCCTGCCCTCTGCTGGGCTCCCTGGTCATTGGCATTTTGGCATCTCAGGTCTTCAAGGTGCTCTTTTCTGGTTAAGTAGAAACCTTTGTAGTATCACAACGGAATGTCTCTTAGGCAGGAGGCACTGCCAAGCAGCATTATAACCAGAACCAAGTTTTTGAATATTAACCCTTTAGCTCAGTCTATTAGTTTCCTATTACTAATGTAACAAATTATTACAAACTTAGTGCTTAGAATAACACACATTTATTAGCTAAGAGTTCTTAAGATCAGGAATGTGAACTAAGCTTCACTTGGCTAACATCAAAGTACCAGCAGGCCTGGCTCCTACTGTGGACTCTAGGGGAGAATTTGTTCCTTGCCTTTTCCAGCTTCTAGAGGCTGCCTGGAATCTTTGACTTGTGACCCTCTTCCTTGATCACTCCAAACTCTTGCTTCTGTCATCATATTTCCTAATACTTCTCACTCTGATCTCCTGCCTTCTTTATAAGGACCCGTATGATTGTATCATTAGGTCCACTCAGAAAATTCAGGGTAATCTCCCCATCTTAAGAGCTTTAATCACAATTACAAAGGCCCTTTTGCCATGTAAGGTAACATACTCACAGGTTCCAGGGATTAAAACATTTACATCTTTGTGGAGCATTATTCACCCTACCATACTCAGACTTCCCTAACATAAGTAGCAAAATGACCATTGGACCAGGAGTGAGGATAACTGGATTCCATACCCAGTTCTGCTACTCCTTCCCAATTGGGTAATTTTAGGCACATCTCTTTGACTCTCCAAGCCTCAGTTTCTTTACTTGTAAACTGGGGATAATAACATCTACCTCACAGGTGTTACTTAAATGTATGAAAAGCTCTTTCCAATCATAGTAACTAGCACAGAGTAAGCACTCAATAAACATGCTGGAAAAGGGATGTCAGCATGGGGAAAGATAGGATGAGCAGTTAGAAGGCCATAACAGTACTTCAGATAATGAAATGCTACATAAGAGAGGCAATAGGAAGAATGGAAAGCAGGAGCAGGAAAACAAATAAATGGAGAGGTATACACGAATCCAGATTTATATACTTCCTTGGGCTTAGGATAAAAATGATTCTCATTTTCCACAATCACTTGGCTTTGGCAACAACAATAACAACATAAAGGGCTTGTACTTAATCTCAGCTCAAGCACCTTAAATAAAAGCCCAAAACATTAAAATATCAACTTGAAAGTCACAGGAAGTAGGATGTACAAAGGCACAGAAGCACATAACTGGCAAGAAAAGGAGACAACATGTAGTCTCTATCAAGATATAGGACAAACTCTTGCTGGCTGTCCCACACAAGCTTCTGGCCTGTGTGCCAATTTTCAACACCTACAGCTTACAAGCTGTGAGATGTTGGGCAAATAAGTCATCTGGTCTGTGTGCCTTGGTTTCCTCAACTGTAAAATTGAGGTATTAAGAGTGTCTGCCTTATGGAAATACCGTGAGGATGAAATGAGAATCCATGCTGTATATTTAGCACAGTGCTCAGTACTTACAGGCCCTATAAATGTTAGCTGGTATCATTGCTACAAAAGGCTCAGATGCCCCAGAAGGCTAGATCTCTTTCCTCAAAATGACTTCCACTTCAAGGAGAGACTAAACCCTCAAATACTGATTCTCCAACCCTATCTTGTCCTATCCTTTCTCCCTGTCCACACACACAGGTAAAAACAATATGAGCAAAAGCAAATATATAGCTATGTATATCAATATATACATATATGCACATATATAAATATATACACATAAACATATACATATATGAATATACATAACTACATCACATAAATACATACATATATAAAATATACATTGAAATACATATATAAATATGAATATACACCACATTTTTGTGTGGTCTGGAAAAGACCTTTCCAAAATGATGGCTAAGCTGGAATAGGGATGGGGAGTTTTGAGGAGGTTTTTTCCTTTGAAATTACTTGAATACATTCTCACTGGGAAACTATATATAACAACTCAGAAGTATTCACAGTAAATTGTGACAGTGACTCTTCATTTCCCCCACCAATCCTACCGTCCTCCTCAAAGTTATTTATTGTCTGTTAACAATCTCCTTTCTATGCATTTATACACAAATATAGATGGGGTCTGGGGGTTTTATTTTAATAAATGAGCCCAGACTCTACATATTCATGTATGACTTGATTGATTAATCAACCATATAGCTTGGAGTCTCTCTGTGTCAGGACATAAAAAACCTATCCCATTTTTTCTTCACATGGCTGCATAATATTTCATAGTTACAGATGTAACAGTCTAGTCATTCAGGAAAAGATATTAAATGTCACTGCTGCTTTTGTCCTTGAGCAAGATATAGCTAAACAGGTGGATGGTCTAGGCACCATGAGAAATCAGGCACCATTTGCCTTGGATATCTTCCTAGAGCTCCTTTTCCAGGGCCCTGGCTCCAAAGGTGGGCTGTGTTGAAGCCTTGTGTGTCCCACATTCCCATTCCAGCTGAAATCTCTTGGTATCCATGAAGAGAGCAGCAGACAGCCCCATGCAGTCAGTGTAGATGAAGCACTCTTTTGTATCTTTGGTGACAGCCCAGTATGACCAGCCTTTAATGCATTCATTATGGAATAATTTGACCAGTGAATAAACCCTCTCATCCTTTTTTTACATATATTTTATTCATTTATTTTTTAGACAGGAGAAGGGAGGGAGAAACACAGGGAGAGAAACATCAATGTGTGGTTGCCTCTCATGTGCCCTAACTGGGGACCTGGCCCACAACCCAGGCATGTGCCCTGACTGGGAATCCAACCAGCGACCATTGGGTTCACAAGCCAGTACTCAATCCACTGAGCCACCAACTGGTTAGAAATGCAGATTCTCAAGCCCACTGAAGACTTAATGAATCCAAAACTCTGTAGATGAGGCCCAAGCCCTATAGGGGATTCTGATGCACTCTTAAGTTTGAGCATTGGCTTGAAAAGGGCCATCTTGACTATATGCATGGAGTCTAGGCTGGGGAAACAAAAGCATACCTTATATCCAGGTATAAAATAGGCCAAGTGCCAAGCGACTGAAATCAGCCTTCTAATGGATGTTACACACCACAGTCTTTCTGACCCTTTATAGGAGAGACATCTGCCAAAGGCCCATTCATTCTGTAAAACATCTGAATATATTTGCCTCCAACCCTGCACCTTGTTCCACTCTGTCACTTAAAATAATCTTTCCCATTTGTGCTCTCACCTGAAATGAGTAAATATGCTTCTAGCCACCCCTTTCCCCACCCTTTCTTCTTGGTATCCATGAAGAGAGCAGCAGGCAAAAGGTTAGTTCTAGTGTACCCAAGCAAATGGATAGATATACAACCTAAAATAGGAGTGACCTACAGAGCTGCTCTCCAAGCCCATCTCACCTGCTTCAATAATACCACCACCCTTTGTTAGCAAATGGAAAATTCCACAACCAAACATTAGAGCAGACACTTTTCTAGAATGCAGTCCACCTCCTCTTCTCCTGTTCCAGAAATACCTCAGGTCTACAGGATCAAGAAAGGCAAGAGTACATGATAAAGAAAGGCAAGGCTGGCAGCCACTGCTCATGACCAGAAAAATGGCCTGACATGGTGCAGAAAAATTCTCAATGAGTACATCCAACAGAAACGAATGCCTTAGACAGGGATGGGCTCTATTCTAAATGGAATGAAGACTATTAACAATTCTCAGCTTTGTTTTTTACACCCTTATAGGTTCTCAACTAATTGAATTCTGAGGGATGAGGAAGAGGGGAACAGCACACCCTGTTTCAGAGAATTAGAATCTGAGGCATTAGGAAGCAGTAACTGAGAATTAGGTATTAAGCAAATCCTTAATTAAGCTGAGGTTAGTTGTTAAGCTCACAGTTGAGGATGATGAAGAAAAGAAGTGAAAATTAATATCCAGCTATGGCAGAAGAAAAAGTGTGGTTAGAATCAATTACATCTTCTGCCAGACAGGAGACCTGCTGAATGCTCCAGTCCCTCCAAAGTCCATCAAGCATCAGTGAAAGGAGAGAGAGCCTGGCGAGACAGTGTGCACTAGGTACTTGAGAGTTGTCTAGTAACTTGGTTGTTGGAGGGGGAGGGACTAGCTCAGGATCCAGGGGAGATCTGCACGGAAATTGCTGCCTTCAGAGAGCTGGGGAGGCAAGAGGCTGAGGTCTGAAAAAGAGAGGGTGAATGATTATTAATAACCAGCAGGATCCCAGAGATGGCAAGCTGCCAGCCTGGACTGCCAGTGATGACCAGAATTGTGCAGCAGGTCTGACTGAATTCACAGCTTATTCTCCCTCAGCCCACAAGAATTTGAGTTGGAGAGCCAACATGCTCTGGTAAGTGGAAATCCTGACACTTCCAGAGATGGAGTCATCTTTCCCATTTGGAGTGATTCTTGCTGTCCTGGCCTCCCTCATTGTTGCTGCTAATGCACTAGTGGCCGTGGCTGTGCTGTTGTCGATCCACAAGAATGTTGGTGTCAATCTCTGCTTCACCTTGAATCTGGCTGTGGCTGACACCTTGCTTGGTGTGGCCATTTCTGGCATAGTCACAGACCAGCTCTCCAGACCAGCTCATCCCACACAGAAGACCCTGTGCAGCCTTCGGATGGCATTTGTCACTTCTTCTGCAGCTGCCTCTGTCCTCACAGTCATGCTGATTGCCTTTGACAGGTACCTTGCCATCAAGCAGCCCCTCCGCTACTTCCAGATCATGAATGGGCTCGTGGCTGGAGCCTGCCTTGCTGGGCTGTGGTTGGTGTCTTACCTCATTGGCTTCCTCCCACTTGGAATCCCTATGTTCCAGCAGACCAGCTACCAGGGCCCCTGCAGCTTCTTTGCTGTGTTTCACCCACGCTTTGTGCTCACACTCTCCTGCATTGGCTTCTTCCCAGCCCTCCTCCTCTTTGTCTTCTTCTACTGTGACATGCTCAAGATTGCCTCTGCGCACAGCCAGCAGATCCGAAAGATGGAGCATGCAGGAGCCACCGCTGGAGCTTACCAGCCCCCACGGACTCCCAGCGACTTCAAGGCTGTCCTCACGGTAGCTGTTCTCATCGGGAGCTTCACTCTATCCTGGACCCCATTTCTTATCACTGGCATTGTGCAAGTGGCCTGCCAGGAGTGCCACCTCTACATAGTGCTGGAACGGTACCTGTGGCTGCTTGGTGTGTGCAATTCCCTGCTCAACCCACTCATCTATGCCTATTGGCACAAGGAGGTGCGGCAGCAGCTCTATCAGATGGCCCTGGGAGTGAAGAAGGGGCTTGCTTCATTACTTCTCCTTCTCTTGGGCAGGGATGGTGGCCCAGAGGTGTCAAGGGAAAGTTCCTGTCACGTTGCCACTATCTCCCACCCACAGCTTGATGGCTAAGATGGTAAGGACAAAGAAGTTCAAAGTGCCTTTTCCCTCCTCTCTCAGGGTCCCAAATAGTAGATCAGAAGGAGCGAGAGGAATGAGAGCATTTATTTCAGGCAATGGACCACCCTCACACTACCTCATCCCAGACTACTGAGAGGTAACTGATGCAGAGTGCTGACTTTCTTCTATAATGTTTCCTCATTTGCAAATCTCCACTCCTCTTGGTCCTTCTCTTGTAAAATGAGTCTGTTTCTCCTGAACAAGTATACTTACTTAAAATAAGAAATTACTACTATAAAGATGCTTAACAGTCAAACTCTATTTTTTATTACACTAGAGGAGCACCCTTCAATAGGAATATAATGCAAGCCACATATGTAGGTTTAAATGTTCTAGTAGCCACATTAAAAGGATAAAAAAAAAAGAAACAGGTGAAACTAATGTTAATGCTTCATTTAACCCAATATATCCAAACATTATTTCAATGTAATAAATATAAAAAAACTATTACATTATTTTTTCATGCTAAATCTTTGAAGTTTTGTGCGTATTTTACTCTTACAGAACATCTCAATTCAAACTAGCCATATTTCAAATGCTCAATAGCCACACATGGCTAGTGGCTACCATATTAAACAACATAGCACTAGAGAAATGAAGTTCTGTTGTTTTTAACTGTTTACTATAGTAATTGCTTTGGTAAAGCAAAAAGTCCTGTCCCCTGATGCAAATCAGACATTTTAAGTAGTGAGTTTGTACAAAATGTAGGAACCTGTATTAGATTCAAAAGCATGTGTTTCCCCATACTTCATGGTGTTCAAAAACAGTGGGTTTTTGGGAAATAGCCTATCTTGTGATTTTTTTTCTATTAAACTTCCCAGTACACCACATTTCTAACCCTGTGTTGACTCTTTCCTTCAGTTGGCCTCCTACTTCACTTGTAGCTACTTGATGATGACAATGCTGAACCACAAATTCTGAGACACTGGAAGGGAAAGGAGAGGAAAAGGGGGTAGATAACCAAGGAAAGCACTACCAAGCTCTCCACACTGGGCCCACTTTGCTCCTCAGAGCTTTACCTTTTTCCATTTGCTCCCAAACTTTCATTTTCCTAAGAAACTTGATCACATATGAAGATGTTTCCAAAACAACTCAGGAGACCAGCTGAGGAACAGGTGCCTCTTTCTGCTCTTTGTGGGTACAGAAAATGACTGTTGGCATCTGAGAATTATACTCAGGCTCCCTCTGGGAAACCTGGCAGTAGAAATTCAAAAACAGGGTGGGGAAGAAGCCCGGGAACTATGCTCAGCCTTCCTGAGCTTCCCTGTAACCCTTTCCTCACCCTCCTGGTCTTCACAGTGAATTCCTAGAATGTTTGTCTCTTAAGACCCTAAACTAGTTTATCTCCCTAGAAAGATGAATAAAGAGGGCAAGAAGAAACCTCAACAGTATGGATTAATTTGTCTAGGATTTGGTGCCAAAACAACCTTGGAAAGTTAACTACTCTGTATCTCTAAAATGATGGCCTGAGAATACATTTGAGCCCAATGTCTAATTTCCAGAAACCTGTGAAAATTTTCATTCAGATCTAACTGTGATGTTCAGAAGCTGGAAGGAATCTGTCATTATCCCTCTCAAAAGGATGGCACCACACCATGACACTGCACTTAGGTTTTAAATCCCCTTCAACCTTAAATGAACTCCTAGTTTGTTTGCCCTAAATTGTTCAAAGGTTAATGGTCATCCCTTTCAATTTCCATACTCTCAAAAATTTCCTCCTATCTTCCTCCTCTACCTTCAGGACAAATTATGTTTCTAATTTATTCTATTTTTTAAAGATTTTATTTATTTATTTTTAGAGAGAGGAGAAAGGAGACAGAAAGGGAGGGAGAGAAACATCCATGTGGTTGCCTCTCACGCGCCCCCTACTGGGGACCTGGCCTGCAACTCAGGCATGTGTCCTGACTGGGAATGAAACTGGTGACCCTTTGGTTTTCAGGCCGGCACTCAATCCATTGAGCCACATCAGCCAGGGCTCACTAATTTATTCTAATATGTAAATCCTCCTTTGGCAGATCTTTTTGCAGTGGCTTTGCTTACCCCTCTGGCCCAGAGGAGGACTGTGCTTGCCTTCACCATAGTACGCTTTGTGTTCCTTGACAACAGGAGAACTTTATCACTGTCAAGGGGATGATGGAAGCTAATATGATTTGAAGTGTTGACTGCCCAGCAAGGACCAGTTATGTCAGAAATAAGGCATACTCTTGGATTTGGTTATGAATTACTGGGAACTAGGTAAAACAAAAACAGTAACTGGGTTCTTGGACAAAATTGAAAGCTGCCTCCAGTGAGTGCCCTTCTTATTGGTGGTTCAAGGCTTAATTTCCTGGCTTTGATGCAAAGAATTTATCTTGCCAAGGTAACACAAGCAAAGTATAATGGAAATTAGTTAATTACAGGGTAAAGGCAGGATCTGAGGGGAGGCTAGGTGATTATTGTGTTGTTAGATTCAGTCTGAGAAACCCTGCTATCCCTGGGAGTCAGTATGTGCAATGGAAAAATTATGGGCTTTGAAGTCCAACAGGCCAATGTTCAAATTATGACTCAGTCATTTAAATTCTCAAAGCTGTAGTTTCCTCATTTATAAAATTGGGGTAATAATGTCTGCTTTCTATGGTTATAGTGAGGACTAACTCCAATAACATATGTGACAAATGCCTAGTAAACTACAGCACATTGTTAGTGCTCAGAAAATGTTCTCTCTTCCTTAAAAATCCAGAAGAATAAAACATCAAACTGGCCAATTTAAGGGTACCCATCGTATCTGTAGATGTTATGACCTCCAGGACAAGGATAATTAGGCTCTGAACTGTGCATTCCTCAATCCTTGAATAAGGTTTATTAAAATGAGTGGTGAGAGGGGACTCAGGTTGAAAAACACAAAAAGTAAAATCTAATATTTTAGCAAGATCAAGGCAGAGCAGATACAAGCAATGCACTATTATCATACACTTGGGCTTAAGAGTAACTGAACTTAAAAACACTGCATATAAAAAGCCACCACAAGCAGAGATACAGAATGCCATGCAAAAGTCTAGTGGCCTTCTTTGACACAGCCTCCTTCACAGAAAAGGGAATGCACTGGAGAAGAGACATTGGATTTCATTCATGCGTCCAATGTTGTCTCTGCGTAGATTTGAAAAAAGCCAGATCCTGTTCAGCAATTTGATCAAACTAGCCAAATGATATTAAGATCTTGTAAGACAGAATGTAGGTCAATTGGTCCCATGTATAATTTCCATAAACAGCTTATTGTGAATTTGTTATGAAAATTGTGATGACTAAGTTTTATACTGATTCCTCAGGTAGCTAACATTACACATAGCACAACTCAGTTCCAGAGGACTACTCGAGAACACACAGCACTCAGAACATGTCCAGGGGCATTTTGAGTGGTCTCACAAGTGTTAGAGAGGCAGGTTTCCCTAATCTACCAACACTCACCTGCTTGTCCACATAACCAATATAAGCCCATTTCTGAGAGTTGGCTGGCCAGCCAGTTAGTCTTGGGATATCTTTTTCCTATATGGAGGAGAAGTGATCATGGTTCAGATGGGAAATGAATTCATGACTTTTATTTCATTCTCACTTAGTAACTGACAAAACTGAATAGGAACCAGTGAAATCAGCAGGCATCAGAGATACTTCATGGACACAAATATAACAAGAGGAAAAATGGTGTTGATAGCTGAGCAACAAGAGCAACAACAGACCTAAGGCCAGACCACAACTCCTTGGCTGCCGTCAGCCACTCACTTATTTTGTGACTCTTTCAGTACCTTCCATGTCATCCTTCAAATTGCTGACTGCTCTGGAATTTCCTCCTTTTAATTGAAAAAAATCTTCATTTGTTATTCCTGCAGTTATATAAACTCAGTGATGGTGCCTACAGGTGTCAACTGTCATTCATTCATCTGTCTGCCTACCCCACAAACATTCATTCAGAGTGAGGTATTAAAATTGCCTCAGCTTTCCTGGGGCAATTATATTGATGTTAGAGATATATATTGATGCATATATAGTTGTAATTATTCTTTGCTGATTATAAAAGCAATTTTTGATTATTTTAGAAATTTTTGAAAATACATAAAGTAACCTGTAATTGCATCATCCACAGATGATCACTGTTATTCTCCGTTTTCTTCACTTAACATTATATTGTGTACTTGTTCTATCATTAAGTTTCCTTTGAAAATATGTCTTCTAAAGGTTGTGTGTTCTTTTTCAGCATGAGCATATAATATTTTAACCATTTCCTTATAGTTATACCTTTATTTTATTTCCAATTTCTCACTGTTATAATAGCATTATAGATACCCTTGTGTATAAATATTTGACATGTCTGTTTAATTCCTTAGGATAAACAGTATTACTAGGTCAAAGAGCATTAAACATCTATAAGCATTCTGATTATGTTTTTGCTGGCATTTCTTAAAGTGTAATGTTTCCCTAAGGTATCTGCTAAGAAAAGTCAAAAGTGAGCCATAAATGAACAGACTACACTGATATGAATATCCCAAAGAAATAAAAGTGCATGATTTTCTGAAAATATTAACCATACAAAGGGGGTTTATTCAGTTGTTTTTCAGAAAAGAAAATTTATGGATATGTTCTACTGCTAGAGTTAATTGGCAAATTTAGAAATCTGAACTAATGGGGCACAGCACTTTAAGAACAACCCTCACAGTACAACTAGATCATCAACCCAGCATTGTATGATATCCAGGTATTGATTTCAATGTATTTTCACTCTTAAAATTTTCTGAGGCAGTTGCTTTGTGCAATACCTAAAATGCTGAGGCATGAGAATATGAAAACATAATCATATGGAGCCAGGAGACAGGTCTTGATACAGTTGAGCCTTGAAGCTGTAGTCTCACAGCCTTGCAGAGAGTGAATGGTGTGCTCCACCTAATGGATCAACTGTAGTGGGGTAAAGTGCATGAGAGCTT